CGTTTTGCATTAGTGCAGCGTGTCAGGGATTTCCACCACGCTGCACTGGGGGTAAATGAACCTTCCCAGGCAGCCTCCAGAGCCCCCTTGCACGGGCTTGGACCGACTTCTGACCCCACCGCACTGCACTAGCTCGACTTAAAAGCAGAGAAAATGTTGTTTCACTACAGCGTTTTTCATGGAAATGCAAACACCTCTCAAAAGAACACAGGGAGGCTCCTTGGAGGCAGACCAGTCTTCTCAGAACACACCAGGCCCTGAAAAGAGGAAAGGCAGGAACCAAGATTTCCACGTGCTACAGCTGAGTCTTGCTGCTGTTAATGAATCTGTAGGGAACGTATAAAGTTTAGCACAAAACTGAACATCGGATCTGTTTGGAAAGAGTTTAAGCACTGGTGCTAGACACTGGCTTCTTCCTGTGACTGCAGGATAAATTTAGTCACGGCTCTGCTAATGATAGCATTTAATGTAACTGTTTTCCTGATATACAATATCAATTTACTTTGCCTTCTGTTGTCTAGCATTGGGTTATTTAGTGAGTTATGATGGTGCAATGTGCCAGAACACATCAAAAAGTAAAATAATGCTTGCTTAGCCAATGTTACATACAGTTAGCCAAACCAGCTTCTGTTCTTCGGACAGCACATATGCAAACCCAGTACTACAGCAGGTGATACATGCACTGGGACCTCAACGAGACAGATCATTCGTACAACCAAATTGGGATGCACAAACTCTACCCAATCTCCATCGTAATAAAATACTGCTCTGCATGGTAGGAAGTTAGTTAACCGGCAACAACGAGCGCCATCCGCCTCTGAGGCCTACGCTATATTGACTTATCTTGCTGCAAGTGCAGGAGTCAAAAATGCTGCAGCTCCAAATTCTGAGTGCATATTTGGAAATACTGAGTAAAACAACAAAAATCAAATCAGAGAGAAAAAAAACCCACAACAATCACAAAAATAAAAGTACGATTTGTTGATGGTCTTCTTGAATCACAGCCACCTAAATAAAGCTCCAGTCCAGGAAAAGCTTAACGGGAAAGCAATCTTTTTTTTTTGTATGTGTAAAAAAAAAAAAAAGAAAAAAAAGAAAGAAAGAAAAAGAAAAAAAGACCAGGAACTAGAAACTAGAAGTAAATAGCAGCTGAGCAACAGATGAGGCACTAAGTGAAATCTGTTAGCAACTGCTAACAGCTTTGCTATTTTCTGTTGTTAAATTAAAAAAAAGAGAAGAAAGAAAAAACCCATGCAGTAGCAATACCAATATGTTCAAAAATCTCAGATGCAAAAGACTAAAGCCCAACACTTACACCTTCTTGTACTACAGATAAATCCTTTTAATATCTTGAAATGCCTTATTATTGATTAAAAGGCAGGAACAAGCCAATTGACACGGACATCAAGGTAGAACTTGTTACAGCCACATATGACACAGCAAAAACAGCACAAAAAGCCCAGCAAGGATGAACGCGACTCTTCCAGCAGATACTTCATGCCTCAAACTCAACTCTCTTTTGTCCTTGATACCCGAGCCCTGGTCCCTGCACGTGTCCCCTGGGAGAGCTCAAAACCGGGTTCCTGATCCTTCTGCTGCAGGAGCTGGTGCCGAGGAGCAGGATTCCGAGCCCAGTCTCCACGCAGTTTCAGCAGGTCTGTTTTCCTACTGTGTGGTACCGCTGAGCGCGGATCCACTCCGAGCAACATGGCCCAGGAATCAGAGCAACGCGGAGGCAGCGGCACGGGGCTCCTGCTCTCCAAAGCGACATGGCTGCCAATCCCTCAACTAGCCTAAAAAAAAATCATTGCAGTCAATCTACAGTGTACCAACAAGATAATCTTGTTCCTTTCTTTCTTCCTACCTTTGCCAACTGGTTTTGTAACTTCTTTTCTGCTGGGTCTGCCTCCCCTGTCAGTCTGGCAGGGGCTCCATCCCAGGTTCCCCATTTTGCAGATCTCTCCCCTCGGAGGGAACACAAACATCACCACGACCCCTGCGCAGGCGCCTAGAGACCCCTCCTGCACCCAACTGTCTGCTTGCTACACAGTGCCCACATGCCTAAAGCCTCCCACGGCAGCTTCTCCTTGGCATTTAAATTCAGCAGGCCAAAAACTGAAGTCATCTCTGTTTCCAAATACTTTGCTCTACTTCTTCCTTTTATGCTACCAGGAACTAGCAGTCACCTTGTCTGCTGCAGAAGCTCACAACTTTCTGCCATCTTCAGCTTCTCTTTTTCCTCCCACAGATGTTCAACCAATAATCCATGCCAGTTCCCTCTCCACAACGTCAGGAGAGATCTGGCTGTTCCTTTCCAGCCATGCTGCTGAAATATTTGATCATCTAAAACCTCTTCCTGCAGTCTCCTCCCTCGCCCTCCTGACAAACACTTTTCACTCTGCCGATTGCTGTAAAACTACGACCCAATATTTTGGCAGTATCTAACTCCTCTTAAGTTCTCCCGCTATCTCCCCATTCAAAAAATGTATGGTTTTGCTCTCCTTGTTACTCACAGCAGTTTCTTCCTGCAAAAATACCTGCCTATTTTTGCCCATCTTGAGTAGAACATAGGCTGCTGTAAACCAAACAATTCTGCTGTAAACCAGTGCTCTTTGCTCTTGTTCAGTCTTGACAGGTCACCACCCTTCTTTCATTTTGATCATGCCTGCGGTACCGTGGACTCCTGTATTCTCAGGAATAAGTTTTCTTTTTCATGAACATTTTGGTAAATTCTGGGAAAAACACTCATAAGGCCAAGAAGACCTCCCAGATGACCTGTTAGTTCTTACACAGAGCCCATCCTTTTTTCATTGCAACCTGTTGCCTCCATCTTCATGCCTTTATATAAAGTTTCAACAGCGTGAGACACAAGTTCCCATTCGTGCTGCCACGCAGGTAAATAAGTACAACTACAGGTAAATAAAAGCACTTACTGTCTGCTGGGGAGACTATCAAAATAAAAAGCTAGCACATGAAAAGAACAGGTGGATAAAAATCACACCTACAACCAAAATGCAATTGTTTGTCACGCAAGAGGAACCCTATTGCCCCGGCTCTGCAGACCGATACCGTGAGGCTTTTGTGTCAGCCACAAATGCGCGATTCGGATTTTGACGTCATCCCAGGCTCTTTCTGGCTCCGGCATCGCATCCCGTAAGAAAGAGCCTGTGCCTAAAACTCCACCGAGTCTGTCAGCGATGCACGAGCCAGAGCAGTGCCGCTTCTGTCAGACCTCTGTGCCAAGGCCTCTCTGCCTCCCACAGACCTATTTACTGCAAGGAGCTAAAAAAGGGAATGAAAACAGACATCAGGATGCACAAGAAGAGAGTTGCTGAAGCCACTGTCCTCATTATTCAGTGTTTTGACTCTAGTTCCACGTTCAGCCCTGTTTCCTTACGCGGTGGGACACAAATGTGCGTGCAGAGCACAGGCGGGAGCCTCCTCCCCAGTCCTGAAGAGCCCGTCTGGGTTATGCAGACTGGGGCACGCACGTTGCCTCCCTAATAAGTGCCAAACCATGGCAGTTTGGCACACAAGCGTGCCTGTGTTTTGGACAACACATCCTCACTGCCCTCACAGACGGTGGGACAATTTTGAGAATTCCTGTTGATGATGCATGGAAGAGAGTTGGCTAAAACCTGCCATGTGTAGGGTCAATATAACACAGCAGGGCTGAGTCCAGAGAACACGGCTACAGAACCTGCAAGAAAGCTCACATAGTGCTGTCCTATTGAGCACTACTGTAAGTGGGACCTTTTAGCAGCTGAATTTTAGATTACTGGTTACATGCACCTTTGATTAAGCAACAGCCATGGCTTTTGTGTGCACGCCCATCTGCTCTGCAATACAGCATGCCAGGAAACACCAAAAGGCTCCTAAACCTCACAGTGTTCAGTAACACAATCAGGCTTGTAGTCCATTGTCTTCTCTGCAGGAGGTCATTAAATTTCCTCCAGATATGCTCTATTAATTTCAAAGATCTACTTAAATTAAACCACTTGAACACACTCAACATGCACAAGAAGCAGGGATGACAAATTAGGGTGCCCACAATACCTAAGGCTCCAGGCAAAAACAAGGAAATGACCAAGGGAAAAATCCTTCAAACTTCAAATGGGGTAAGTGCCGCTAACCAGAACCAGTGCCACCTGCAGCTGTGGCTGAACAGGCTCATGCAAAGGCAGCACCATGGCTGGGTCTGTTTGCCCAGCACTGACACATGGGATCTAGTCGCTGTGAACTGTGCACCTATTCTGCATTCGGGTAGCAAGTCCTGCTTTGGCTGTTTCTCTTGGCAAGGACTCACGAACACGCTCACAGATTCCGCCTTGTGCAAAACTTGCCTGAGTACAGCACAGCTAGGCATTCCCAAAGATCATTGCTCCACCATTTCTGAGCATCAGGCTGTCCTGGCCAGTCTCTGGAAATTCCAGAGATGAAAAAACAACCAAAAGACACTGAAGAAATCCAAACAATTGGGTGCAGGGAGAAAGCTGAGGTTTTGACCACTGCAGGCAATTGCTAAAGCAATGAAAAAAAAACAAGATTTTATCATAACTAGTAGTTTTCAGCAACTGTGAATGTTATGAGACTGTTTATAGTAACACAAGCAATCCTACTCTCCCCAAAGCATGCAAAGGAAAAGCAGATAAGCGAGGAAAGAAGAGGTGAAGGTCTGAGTGTGGGAGTGGGTCATGTATTACTCAGAAATAATCCCCGCAAAGCCATCCTCCACCCCTCGCTTGTTTTTAGCTTGAAACCTTGAATTTTTTTGACATATGGGAATGAATTTCAGAGGCACAAAAAGACATTTTGTCTGCCAAATGTCTTTTGCCTCAGCTACAAGTTTGGTGTAAAAGTATAAACTGATTTCTTTTTAAATAACATAAACACTATTCTGAGTCCAACTGAAAAAAATCTTCCTCCACTTTATGTGAATATCAGCGGTTTCATACGTTATGAGCATGGGTTTATTCTATTTTCTTTTTTAAATACCATACCTCAACATGACACCAAAGCCTTTCTTCTTTTTCTTTTCTAGGTCTTCACTTTCTTCTTTCCTTTTCTTCTCTTTGCTTTTAGCCTTGCTCTTTTCTTTCTTCTTCTCTTTCTCTCTGTTTTTTTTGTCTTTTTTTACTTTGGCTTCTACCTCTTCTGTTTCAGGATTGCTCGGAGGGGCAGGCTCCATGTTCTGTGCTTCTTGACCAGAGTGAGAGCTCTTATCAGAGAAACCATCTGCACAGACGAAAGAGCAGCAGTGAGAATGGTTAGGGTTCCGTTATGAACACCCAAATATGTAGGAAGACACAAAACACAGCATTGGTGTCTACAAAGTGCTCAACTGACTCGCAGTGCATATTCACATAATTGAATAATTTTAAAATCAGACTAAACATATTTAGTGTACTCAAGCAGGTTTCTGTTGCAAATTAAATACAGAATTATTACAGTGACTTGTTTGCTAGTTATTATTCCTGACAGGAAAACCCTGACATGTGGTAAAACACTATGCTATTTAAGATCTGGCTTGTTAACCCCCATCAGCTGAAAAGAAAGCCGACACGCAGGGAAGCAAACGCTGAGAGCTGCCTTCAATAAGAGGTTCTGGGGACTGACATAACCCACCTACGTAACAAAATGATTTCATTCACTCCTTGGAATCTTTCTGTTTTATTGTCTGAAGAAAAGAACAGAGGATCTGTTCTGCCTGCTAGGAAAAGAGGAGTTTTTTCCTCTTTTTTTTCCCCTTCTATCTGGGAGCTCAGGAATCAATCATAGATGTAAAACCTGGTGCTATAAGGAGGAGTATTTCCAGCTGGGGGACTGTAAGCCCATGTCAATAGAGCGAGCACCATGATGCTGTCACGGGCTCTACCTTGACTAGGCCAGGAAACAAACATCCTGGTTGGAGAACAGGGCTCTAGACAGTTCTGTAAAACAAACAGGATACTTTTCAATGTAATCTGAAGAAGGCAGCTGCTTCTTGAAGCTGAAGAATACAGCTCCTTAAGGACTGAAGTCTAATTCCTTCAACCTACTCCTGCCCCAAAGGAGATCAGTGAAAGGCTTGCTGCTAAACCCAGCTGTGGGTGGATGGGGCGCTGCAAAGACAGCTCCATTCAGCACAAGGTATAAGCAGCTTTTAAATTCAGCCAACTTCAATGGGATTAAATCACTCGCTCGTGTGCTTGACTGAGCTGACTGCCAGCAATGCTAACCGAAGGTGGTTCCATCAGCAAGTACGAGCAGCAACATACCCTCTTCAGCATCCTCGGGTCCGTCGTAAGACTTGTCGATGGCAGCTCGGAAGCTCTCGTTACATCCCCGACCACGGACCACGTGGGGCCTGGGTCTGTGAAAAGGGAGTTCGTTCTTCCGGACTTCAGCCACGGCCGTCTGCAGACTCTCCAGAGAGCTGGACTTCTTCAGGCCCAGAGTGGGGCCAAAATCTTTGCTGGAAGAGTCTGGGAAAGAAACAGTTAAGTTTACACACTGAAAACCACACAGAAGTAAAACTTGTCAGATATATTTAATTGTGTACTTTATTACTTGGGGGCTCTGAAATAGTATGCAACCGCTGTAATTTGTTCTAAAAATATCATTAAGTTAAGCCTAGTTCAGTAGAAATCTCTGTTTGGACTTGGGGGGAAATGACATGTAATTCACAGACCTGAGAACAGCAGTGGGCAGGAGCCCGTGCCTGGACATGGCTGTGGGTCTCAAGAACACTACCCGGAGACTCCCAGAAGGAAGCACTGCTGCCCAACCAGCCGTTTGGCTTTTTTGAACAAGGCAGGCTGCATGAATGACTGATATTTTCAAACACATCCCTCCTGTGAGAAGATATTATTAGTTCTCTTACAGTCTTATCCAACCTTTCTCTTCAAGCTGGAATTGGTGCCGTGCTATCAACATACACAGCAGGTTTTGCCAGAAACATAAATATTTCTAGCAAAGTAGAGCTTAATATAAACTATAGTGCTGCCTCCTTCCTTGTTCTTAGGCATGAGAAAGTAGTTTATACAATAAAGACAGAGTAAATACCTTCCCAAGTCCCCCCATGTTTTCTCTCATCAAAAGCCTGACTTTCCCCTCTTAAAGGGACGTTCTTTTGTGGTAGCTTAAGTACTGCTAGTGCTATTAATTAGCACTAATGCTAATTACTATTAGCACAATGGTAATGGGATAGGCACAAAAAGTTCACAGAGCACATGCAACAAACAGAAAATCACAAACACTGCTTAATCCAAAAGTTTTTACAGTGTCTACTTAATGTTTACATTGCAAAGTGGTAAATATGACGCAGAAGCACTAAGGAATAGACTTTGGCTTGCTGCAGTCTCAGAGCACACAGGATGCTTTGACTTCCCCAGTTTCTAAGTGCTACTAACGCCAGCAGCAGGAAAATGTAAGAATGAGGGACCTGCACCAACACGTCCACGTGCCGGCCCTCCTGACAAGGCTTGAGGATTGCTGCAAAGGCAGATGTGTTAACACTGGGCTGCGATGTTAGCAGCCCTAGAGCACAGATATTCCTGAACCCAAGCAGTGCCATCAGTGGATTCCCGAAGGAAACAGATCAGCTAAGGACTGGCACCAAGTAGGGAATCATTAGCAGTGGATAAAGCAACCCACACTACCAGTGCAGACTTGCTCAGAGCTGGAGGGAGGCAGGGGAAAAAGATGGAGAAAAGCTTAAGGGAGATCTGGTTGCTAGGCCACAAAATGCAATCTTCTCGTCTTCGTTAATGTCCGTTCTGGAGACCAGCATCCCTGCCAAAGCAGCGAGTGCTAAAATGGAGCGCAAGCAACCACCACGCATGGAAGGTGCTAGAAACGGCTGCCAAGGCGCGTGGCAGCCGGAGGCTCCGCGGTCCCCGCAGGCCCAGGAGCAGCCCTGGCCCCGCAAGATGGCAAAGGCCCCGGCCCTGCGGCCGGCGCTCGCTTCGGGCCGCTGCTCTTCCCCTAGGATGGGGATTCCAGACAAAGCCATGCCAGCAGCTGTGGCTTTGTGGTGAGGCGCTCAAACGTGCCCCACGGCAGGGCTAAGGCGGCCACCCCGGCAGGCCGGCCTGCACGGAGAAGGCTCCTTGCCACACACGTGCCTCAGGATCCCGGGGAAACACAGCGCTGCCAGCACAGGAGGCTCTTCCCGCATGAACAGTCCGGCTTTGGTGTTTTGTCCTAATGGGAAAGTTCCCCCCCAGGAATTAATTTTAGCGGTAGCTAGCAACAACTTCCTGTTTGCTCCTTTAGCGAGAGCACTTACAGAGAACCGCACATCTTGTTTGCGGGTTCCTATTGCAACAAGGAGGGAGAAGGCAAAGTGGGCACTGCTTACTTACCAAGTAAGTTCAGAGAAACATTCTCTTGGAAAAGTGATACATATATACATACATATATATATATATATATTTTTAGAATGTCCCAAAGTTAGAGCAGAAACAGGACTGACTTGCGATCACTTTTTTTGCCCAAAGCTTTAGATAATATTTTGCCCAATGTTACCAAAAAACAGAATAAAATGGCAAAGATTAACTACATTTCTTTCTTACTGGCAATGAAAGTAAAATTTCATCTCTCATCTTCCCATGTTTTCGTATTTAAAAGGTATCGTCAGTTATTCCAAAGCTTACTGAAACCTGTTAGTAACAGATTACTAGTTAGGCATTAGAACGCCCTTTCTCAAGGCTATAATTATTTAGTCTGAAATTTCACTGGCACCATTGGAAGCTTTTCACTATTAGCATCAGAATTATCTCATAAAAAAAAAGTCTTAACGTAGGTGATAAGTGATTGCATTTTTCCTTATCAATGCAGGCTTTAAACCATGTTGAAAACATGATTTTCTTCTAAGATATTAAAAAAAAAAAAGCCATTACCTTCTCCACCCAGAAAAACACAAACTGCCACCTCATCTTATGTTATTAGCAGACATATGTGCATGCACACAAGAGAGAGAGGCAAAGAGATGCACAGGGACTATCTGGCCCTACTTAGGTTTTGGATGCAAAAATACAGCAGGGCAATGAGTAATTTAATTGCTCATTATGTGCAGAAATACTTCCTCAGATTTTAAATTTCTTAAGGCCTCATTTATAGTAAAGTTACACTCTTGGAGCAGAAGGATAAAAAGTCCACTGCAGAAACCATTTTCTATAAATGGTGCAGTGCTTTGTGGCTCTCTACTGAATTTTGGAAAGAAAACAACTATTGGTATCAGTAAGTGCCTATGACTGGCTGAAACCAAGTTATGGGTTCAAAGTTAACATCCATAAGTGACCACCTTTAACTGCTTTAACTGGAAGACAGCATGATATCTACCTCAGTTTTCTATGTTTCCATCAGATGTTGTTTTTCCCCTCCAGGTAAAGTAAAAATAAACTCACTTTCTGTTGTTTTATTAATATCAGTTATTTACTGGCTTCTCTTTCCCACATTTGCACACTCCTCTCTCTTCTGGGGCCAAGCGGAAGGAATGGTACCAAAAGAGAGAAAAAGCAAAGAGGGTTGGGAGGCACTGCAGATAAGCAAGTCTATACTTATTTAACATGAATTTTACATTTTATATGTCTCCTTCTTGAAACGTGAGACTGGAAGAATATGTTTAAGGCATAATATTTACAGGAACGAATTTGTAAGAGCTACACTAATCTGCTTTCTAAAATTCTGAAAGATACAGTGAGGTTAAAACCACTTTATGAAGAAAAAAATGACAGGAAAGTTTTGCCAAGTCTGAGCAATGAGAATAAGCAGAGTTTGAATAGATCACATAGAGCCCGGCACACCATGCCGGACACACGCAGCAGCCTGGGGAAGACTGCACGGTGAAGAGGGAAACCGCAGGTCCGTGGGTACACAGGACACGTTTGCGTGACATTGGAAGTACAGGCAGTTCCCAGATTACCCACCTGGGCTTTTCCCATAGGAATTAATGCATCACTGCATCGCTAAACTTGAATCACCCCTGTAAGAGGCGAGGCTGGCGGAGGGGGTCTCCAAAGCACCCAAACTGCTGCTTGGGAAGGAGCAAAGCTCCGGCAAAGCGCAGGATCATCATGTGCTCCGGCAAAGAGGCCGCTGCCGGGGCCCATCGGAAAACCGAGTCCAGAGACACCCAGAGACCCCCTTGCTGTAGGGCTGCCGTTTGTGCGGGAAGGAGCAGCTACGGCCGTTCGCTATAGGAAAGATGTCCAGAAACACAAGAGCAAGAGACAGCCAGGCAGACTTGGCTGCTTTTCTCTCCTCTGCTCCTTTCACAAAATCTACTCCTAAATAAATCGATGTGTAAAGTGAAAAGCGTTGATGTCCCTTTTAATAAGTGTAAGGTCAAGAGAGAAAACAGTCGCTGTCATTACTGACCCCCATGTGACAGGAACATCAGAGACCAGGTAGACAGACACGGTTCTTGCCCACAGGGTTGCAGTATCATATGGTGGCTTGGATTAATTCATGTGCGCTTCTTTGTGAGCCATTTCATTTAGTGTAGCTCCATTTATTTCTGGTAGGATTCACAGTATGCACAACTGCAAAGGATTTTTCCTCTCACTTACGTTTTTATACTCCGATACTTGCTCAATCACCAATTGATTGAATGCAGAGACTGATTTAGGAAGGGGAGATCTCAAAGCTCCTACCTCGGTTTTTGATTTTCAAATGGAAAGCTTTAGAAGGATATTTCAGTAGAGTAACCTTAAACGATGCTGCAGCCCCTTCAACACTTGCTTATAGTGTAAGCACAGAAAAGATTATGAAGAGTTTGATACAAAACAAGACAAAAGCACCAACTCTCGCGCTCCCAAATTAGGGCCAACACGCACGTCTTGCTCGTTTGATACCTCAGACCAAGCAACCCAAATGAGACGCAGAAACACCGAGCACTGACAGAAAAACCTAAGAAAGAAAAATCAAAGTATGGGGGAATTTAACAAGTTCTCTGATTAAAAGAGCCTCTTGCAGACTTCTTATTTACAGATATTTCAATCCATTTTACCGCATATAATGATTGCAATTTAGCTCCTGCTTGCACAAACGGCAATTTCCTCCGTGAATAACGGCAGCGCACAATTTGGAGCCCAGACGGGGCCGCGGGAAGGCGGCAGTCCTTAGGCGAGAGGCGGCACCGCGGCACGTAGGGCACCTCTGCAAGCCAAGCGGTCGGGGCCCTGCTCCTGCACGCTCAGGATTTCAAGAAGAGCCACACGTACATCACGAGACATTTCTAAAACATGCTAATAAGTTCCACAGAGCAACATGAAAGCTAAGAATTAGGAGTGAAAGGAGTTCAAGCCAAAGCACACGGAGAAAGGGCTCTTGCATTTGCTGAGTTAGCGCCGAATGCTGGACAAACTGCAGCAAAGCCAATCTCTGCACAAAAGAACGATGTTATCTGTTGAAATAATTAGTTTTCTTTATTTGGTTACATAAGGTTAACCTCTGACATAACCTTCCACTTTCCAGCGGG